GCTCAGATTCATTGGTCTTCAGGGACAGGCAATTTAAAAACCACCACGATCCCTCTAGAGAACCACATTTTCTAAAACTTAAGGCACTGAACTTGCTGAGGGTTGGTGAGGATGTGGAGTACCCAGAACTCTCATTCTTTGCTAATAGTTTAAATTGGTACAACTACTTTGGAAAACCTTTTAACAGTGTGGTGGCCCTGGTAAAGCTGCTACGAACATTCTGTAAATGTCTTTGGGTGGCTGTATGCACTCATGTCTATTGAGAATATATCCAGGAATGGAATTAGAGTCATACAGTATTGGTAAATACTGCCTAGGTCAATTCAATCAGTCTCCCTTCAAGAGAATCTGCTGCAAAGAGGCTAGATGGCCAGTAGCCTCCAGCTGACACCCCTTTGGTTTTTGTTTTGTTTTTTTTAAAGTAAGTCTTTAAAACACATTTATTATTACTTTGGTTGCACTGTGTCTTTGTTGCTGCACACGGGCTTTCCCTAGTTGCGGAGAGTTGAGGGCTATTCTTCGCTTTTGAGCACAGGTTTCTTACTGCGGTGGCTTAGTTTGTTGTGGAGCATGGGCTCTAGCTGCATGGGCTTCAGTAGTTTCAGCACATGGGCTCAGTAGTTTCGGCTTTCAGGTTCTAGAGCACAGGCTCAGTAGTTGTGACATGAGGCTTAGTTGCTCTGTGGCCTGTGGAATCTTCCCTGACTAGGGATCAAACCTGTGTCCCCTCATTGGCAGGCAGATTCTTACCACTGTACCATCAGGGAAATTCTCAAGCAATGCTTTATTGGGGCCCTTGCTACAGCAGTGGGGAGCAAGAACAAGCAACAGGTTCCCTTGCTCCACACCTTTGGATCCATCACAGCATTCATGCCGAGCCCGTGCTCTCCCTAGGCTGCTCCCAGCCAATGACTGTGCCTGGCAGGATCACTAGATCTGAGTCACTCCTGCCTTGCTCCCTGTTAGCCTGGCTAAGACTGCAGAACTTTCACAGTGGACAGACCTGCCCTGTGATCTGGAGGCTCTCCCTGCCTGCTCTTCTTCCCTGTCCCTTTTATTCTTCAGAGACATCGCCTCCTGTAAATATCTCTTACACATCTGATTCCACCTTGGCATCACCTCTTCAGAGGACATGAATTAACCTATGCAATATTTACTAACACCGTCTGACTCTAATTCCACTCCTGGATGTATTCTCAATAGACAAGAGAGCATATAGCCACCAAAAGACATTTACAAAATGTTTGTAGCAGCTTTACTCATTATAGCTAAAAACTGGCCAAATGTCCATCAATTGTGGTTAGTCGTATAATAGACTATTATACAGCTGTGTACAATAACATGGATAAACCTCTCAGACATAAAGATGAATCAAAGAAGCCAGATAGTCAATAGATCTCATTGAGTAGAGGAATCCTGAAGGAGAGGGGCTACCAGGAGAATGAGTGCATTCAGTTATATGAAAACCACCAGAGAGTTAGAGTGGTGATCTTTTTGAGGACTGTGGCAGGCAGCCTTTAAGATGATCCCAGTGATCTGTCTCCCTGTATTCATGCCTTTGTGTAATGCCCTTCCATTCAGGGTAGACTGGACCTAGGGGCTTCCCCCTCCACCCCAGTTTTATTGAGATATAATTGACATGTAACATTGTGCTAAGTTTAGGATAAACAACATGATTTGATAATGTATATATTGTGAAATGATTACCACAGTAAGATTAGTTAATGCATCCACCACCGTATCTAATTACCTTTGCATGGAGGGAAGAAATGAGAGCATTTAAGATTTAGCAACTCTCTAAGCAATTTTCACATATACAATACATATTATTAACTACAGACTCCATTCTGTACATGAGAGCTCCAGAACTAATTCATCTTATAATTGGAAGTTTATGCCCTTTGACCAGCATCTCCCCATTTTCTCTACCTGCCAGCCCCTGCCAACCATCAATAAATGTTTCTATGATTTCAGCTTTTTTATTTTCCATGTGTGAGATTATATAGTACAGTTGACCCTTGAACAACACAGGTTTGAACTACACAGGTCCATTTGTATGTGGATTTTTTTCAATACATACATATACAGTTCTACACAATCCTCAGTTGGTTGAATCTGTGGCGGTGAAACCTCAGATATGGACGGCTAACTGTAAAGTTATGTGTGGATTTTTGACTTTGTGGTGGGGTCAGTGCCCCTAAACCCTGCCTTATTCAAGGGTCAACTGTAGTTGACTTTCTCTGATTTATTTCACTTAGCATAATGCCCTCAAGGTTTGTCCATGTTGTCTCAAATGGGAGGATTTCCTTCTTTTTTGTGGCTGAATAATATTCCATTGTGGATACATACCACATCTCCTTTATCCATTCATTCATCCATGGACACTTTGGATATATAAGTAATAGAATATGTAAAAGTGGTGGGCTGTCTTTTCTGAGAGTAGGTTACAAAAAAGACTGTGACTTCCATTTCTCTCTCTCTCTCATCCCTTGCTCTAAGGGAAGTTAGCAGCTTCTTATGGAGAAATGCAAGTGGCCAGAAACTCATGAATCCAGTCAACAGCCATTTGAGTGAGCTTGAAAGAGAATTCTCTTGCCTTGAGTTGCCTGCAGCCCCAGCGAACATCCTGATGGCATCCTTGTGAGAGACCCTAAGCCAGGGAATCCAGCTAAACAATTCCTGACCCACAGGAACTATGAGGAAATAAGAGGTATTTTCCTTTATTTTGGTCTTCCCTGGTAGCTCAGCTGGTAAAGAATCTGCCTGTGATGCAGGAGATCTGAGTTCGATCCCTGGGTCAGGAAGATCCCTTGGAGAAGGGAATGGCTACCCACTCCAGTATTCTTGCCTGGAGAATTTCATGACAGAAGAGTCTGGCAGGCTACAGTCCATGGGGTTGCAAAGAGTAGGACATGACTGAGTGAATTTCACTTCACTTTCTTTAAGTTACTAAGTTTGGGGAAGTTTGTTACTGATCAATACAAGGACATCAGTTACTCAAAATCCCTATATAAAACAAATCTCTTGGACAGTTCAGTTCAGTTCAGTGTTCAGTCACTCAGCTGTGTCCAACTCTTTGCGATCCCTGGACTGCAGCATGCCAGGCCTCCCTGTTCATCACCAACTCCCGGAGTTTACTCAAACTCATGTCCATTGAGTCGGTGATGCCATCCAACCATCTTGTCCTCTGTCATCCCCTTCTACTTCCACCTTCAATCTCTCCCAGCATCAGGGTCTTTTCAAATGAGTCAGCTCTTTGCATCAGGTGGCCAAAGTATTGGAGCTTCACCTTCAACATCAGTCCTTCCAATGAATATTCAGGACTGATTTCCTTTAGGATGAACTGGTTGGATCTCCTTGCAGTTACAACCAGGGAAAAGCTAGCAATATCTAAGAACAATATGTTTCTTAGAGACAGTGAGAATAACATACATGTGTTTTTCTTTTAGTTTTGGCCATCAGGAAGCTCAGAGCCAGATTTGTGGCTCAGTTTTAATTATTATATGATACTCTATGGCCTACTTGTCTATGTTCTTACTCCTGGTCTTTCCTTATATTTTGAATAGGCTTTTTCTTCACCCTAATTTTTTAGTTCATTTTTATATTTTACTGTATTATATGAAGTATGTTGTTGTTGTTCAGTACCTCATGAATGCTGGTGACTTTCCCCACCCCTGCCATCTTGTTCTCAAGTTCTTAACCTGTATGTAATTCTGACAACAACATTTGATGTAGGAACTATTGTTTTCTATGTTTTCAGTTCAGTTCAGTTACTCAGTCCTGTCTGACTCTTTGGGACCCCATGGACTGCAGCACGCAGGCTTCCCTTTCCATCAGAAACTCCCAGAGCTTGCTCAAAATCATGTCCATCGAGTCAGTGACACAATCCAACCATCTCATCCTCTGTCATCCCCTTCTTTTCCTGCCTTCAATCTTTCCCAGCATCAGGGTCTTTTCCAATGAGTTGGTTCTTCGCATCAGGATGCCAAAGTATTGGAGCTTCAGCTTCAGCATCAGTCCTTCCAATGAATATTCAAGGTTGATTTTCCTTAGGATTGACTGGTTTGATCTCTTTGCAGTCCAAGGGACTCTCAAAAGTCTTCTCCAGCACCACAGTTCAAAAGCATCAATTCGTCGGCTCTCAGACTTCTTTAGTTAAGCCATCTCAAATTCAGCTCACAGGGAAGCAAGGCATTCAGAAATAATTTTTAAAAATAGTTCATTTTGCACTTGTTGAATACAAAGTGCGTGGAGGTGGTGATGGAGAACATTGGGGAATGTAAGCGTAGCTGTAGAGCTTGGCTCTGGAGTTCCGCCCAATGGCCAAGGTTAATTTGGATTGGGTGAGAAAATATCAAGTGATGGACAAAAAAAGGCGGAAAATATGGCCATTGATTAGACCCCCAGGAGGTGGGGCCAAGGGCTCATCCAGTCACACACGTTGATATCTTTGAAATTTACTCCTCGCACCCAGTCCTACACGACCCGCCCGCGCCACCCAACCCCTGCTCGCCTCGCCCCAGCTCGCCCCACCCGAGCCCTGCTCGCCCCTCCCCACCCCTGCTCGCCCCTCCCCACCCCTGCTCGCCCCTCCCCTCCCGCCCGAAAGCCCCGCCCTTCACCTCATGGCCCCGCCCCTTCTTCGGCCCCGCCCGCTGCGCGCGCCGCACCGCCTCTAGCTCCGCCCGCCGGCCGGCCTCTCGGGCGGTTGCGCGTTCCGCCCCCTCCCTCCGCGCCCGCGCGCGCTTTCCCAGCCCGGTCGGGCTCTCTCCTTTCGGGGCGGTTGGGCCGCGCGCCTGTGGGGGCGGGGCCCGGAGGAGGCGGTCGAGCCAATGGGGCGAGGCGGCGGCGGCGGCGGTGGCGGCGGCGGCGGAGGCGGTGGCGGTAGCGGCAGCGGCTGGGTCGGGCCCCGACGGGCGGCGGCGGCTGAGGTGGAGGCGGAGGGAGGCGGCGGCGGCGGCGGCGGTGAAGGAGGCGGCGGCGGCGGCGGAGGGGGGAAGATGGCGGCGCCCGTCCTGCTGAGAGTGTCGGTGCCGCGTTGGGAGCGGGTGGCCCGGTATGCAGTGTGCGCCGCCGGGATCCTGCTCTCCATCTACGCCTACCACGTGGAGCGAGAGAAGGAGCGGGACCCCGAGCACCGGGCCCTCTGCGACCTGGGGCCCTGGGTGAAGTGCTCCGCCGCCCTTGCCTCCAGGTAGCCCGGCTGGGGGGAGCGGGCCGGGAGCGGCCGAGCGGGGCGAGGGCGGAGGCTGGGGGTGGGGAGCGCGCGGCGGGAGCTCGGGCCTGGGGGGGCGGCGGGGACCGGGCCGCGAAGGGACCGACGGCGCCGCGAGCCGGGCAGGGGGCCGCGGCCGGGGCCGGGGGGGAGCGGCGGCCCGGGGTGGGGGGCGGCCGGAGTGCAGGCCGCCGGGGCTGAGGTGGCGGTGCCGCGAGACCGACGAGGAGGGAGGGATGAGGTGGCAGAGTGCAGCCGGGGAGGCCGGAGCGGACCGGGAGCAGTTGGGGAGGCTGGGAAGGGGCGAGTGGGGTTCACGGAGGGTGGGTCCCGGCCGGCATGACAGATTTCCTGGTTCTCGCCCCGGGAGGCGGGTCGGGGGTGCGGGACCCTGCCCGAAGGAGCCGTGAGGTCAGTGTTCACCCCTCGTCTGGGGTCGCCGCTGCTGCCCTAGGCTGTGCGGCCGGCGTGGGCTCGGAGGTTGCATTTCCCAATGTCTTCCCGGTGCTAGGACAGGTGTTTCCGTGGGCAGGCCTCTTTGTACTCTGGAGCGCTGATGGGAATTTTGCAGACTTCTTGAGACAGTGACATTTGCGGGCAAACACGAATTTGACCCTACTCTGGAAGAGGATACCGGCACTCAACATACCTGATTTCTTGGATTCCCCCTCGTATATTTCAGGGTGCCTGGTGGCCTGAGTTTGGGTCTAGTTTCAGCTTAATTTCAGTAAAATATGTCATGTGTGATGACGATGTTTGGGGAATAAGGGTGACTTTTAAACGTTGTCGGTTATTATAATGAAATACCCACCGAAGATTAAAAATACATAGATTGCTAAACTGATAATCTTAGGTTTTTAAGCATGTTGTAGTTGATTTATCTGTTATAGTTTATTTTATGCGTTAGATTTTCCTAGGCAAATTGAAAAAAAAAAGGAATTTACATCTTTAAAGTAGCGGCTCTTTTTTCTTTTTTTGAGGAGGGTTCCTTTTTAAAAAGTAGCAAAAGTAAAAGAAATTATTTTACAATTGCTAGGTTACACAGGTTGCACTGTTAATAGAGACATACTGTGCCTGATATTTTGAGTTTGTTAGCGGTAGTCACGTTTGAGCAGTTTCTTCCTCTCCTGTTGATCTGTAACTTACTAGGCAGACAGTAATGTATATAGCTCACTAGTTATTTTGACCTACATATTGGTGATTATATGAACAACCTAGCTTTGAAGTTTGTCTTGTTACTATTTACAAGCTCCAGAGGAGGATCTTTTCCACTTAATGTTCTTAGTGAGCCAGGTACTCTTTCTCATCTGTAACTTTTTAGTGGGAAAATAGTTATTATTGCCACATTAGATACAATGTGTTTAAAATGTAGGTACCAGTTAACAGTTAAAATACAACAAAGTAACAAAAAGTTTACATTTGTTGTTGGGTATTTTGAACCAAGTTAATAGACCTAACAGACTCTCAGATACCCTTTTGAGGACCACTGAGTGTATTTTATGTAAACATTTGTATATTATTTTCACTATCCATTGAAAAGGACTTTTATACTTAGAGTACCTTGCACCCAAAGTTAGCTGAATAAGTATGTAATGAAAAGACTGTGCAGTATATATCAGGTGTTTGAAAAGAGAATAAAATGTTTTGATATTAGATTAATGTGGAATTTAAGCAGAATTATTACCAGTTTTAGCTTTTGGATACATTATAGTGTATAATTAATTTTACTAGATCTTTTAAGTTTTGGGCTTGGAAAGAGTGATTTATGTTATCCAGACTGCATGTTTAAGTTCTTAAAATTGGCTCTCCTTTTAAGAAGAGTGGTTTGAGTCATGTAGTAAGTACAGATTTTAAATATTTTCAGTTATGTGTCCTGCGAGATACAGGTTTTTGTGCTCTGATTTCATTTTAATAAGGCACCATAAAATAATATAAATAGCATCAAGTGAGATTAAAAGTTTATGTGTAAGACTGAAAAATCTGGCTCTCTTTATGATTTTAAATGTGAATTTAATATGATGTGACTGAAACTAATATTTAAATTTTCTCACCAAAGGAGGTAAGAAATAAGACATGCTAATAAGAGAACTAAATAGCTTATTTGCCATGTATTCAGTAAAATTCAAGAAATTTATCTAGTTTGACCCACTTGTTTGTAAACTACCTGCAAAGCCATATGTGTGTGTGTGTGTGTATATATATATATATATATATACACACACACACACACTATATCTATCTATATACATGGAGATAGATAAATTTGGAAATTTGCTTGAGTCTGATTTATAGACCAATTTTCTTTTGGAAGTAGTAGACTAGACCTAATTAAAAGTTTTTATTTTGTCAGAGTGAAAAAGGCTTTAAATAAAAGCAAATTATTGGAGGCCTCAAGTAGTAGCTCTTTTTATTTACTTAAGTATTGATTGCCAGTTAGCAGTAGTAGTAAAGAATGTGACTATTTTAGGAACAGAAAGTTTGATCCCAGGTTTGAGTGAGTAGAATTGAAGATAAAGAATGAGAAAAATCAACCAGTGAAACAAATCCTGAGGAAAGTTCTCTGCCCAAACCCTACATTAACTCATGTTATTTTGGATTGCTAAAACTCACTTTACTCCCATTTCTCAATCCTTCAATGTCCCAATACAAGTAAAATAGAGATTAATGAGAGAGTCTTGAGGTGTGTGTGTGTGTGTGTGACTGAAGTCCTCTGTTATTTTGGGAGGCATCATTATCTAAGGAAGTAGTTCCCCAGTTTTTTGGATTTCAGAAGTATTCCCCCCCAAATTGGGAGGCTGCAAGAGACCTGCCAGGCTTCTTCCTAGTGGTAAAGAACCCACCTACTAATGCAGGAGGCAAAAGAGATGCACTGTCTACTGTTACTGTCATTTTAAGTAAGAATATTTTAACTCAAATAATTAGAACTGAATCTCAGCATGAAAGACCTTTAAATTGAATCAGTTAGCTTTGTTGTAAAGTTTACTTTCTTTTTATTTTTCCTCATTTATATTTAAATTACTAAAAAACATCATTGCAAGTCTGCACCAGCCTGCCAGCTAATCCCTGTCTAGAGTGCACTGAGCTCAGATCCAAAGATTTTTGGTGGACTCCTAGCTCTTCACTTGTTAGACTATGATCTCAGGCTAGTTGTCATCTTCATGGAGCCATAGTCACTTCTCCTGTTAAATGGGGATATTAAAACCTACATTGCCATATGAATGGTAGGATTAAAAAGGATACACAGAATGAATAAATGGATGATACTTGGAATAAAGTATGTACTCAATTAGTTACAGCTGTTATTGACTGGAGGTGGAATGATTATTATTTTTTGCAGTGTCTCATCATAAATGCCTTTATATAGTACAAGTTTCTTGTTATATTTTAAATGTAAATTGTTCTAGTGTATTTTATTGTTGGGGCTTCTCAGGTGGTTCAGTGGTAAAGAATCCTGCCAGTGCAGGAGACAGGAGATGCTGGTTTGATCCCTGGGTTGGGAAGATCCCTTGGAGAAGAAAATAGCAACCCAATATTATTGCCTAGAAAATCTCATGGACAGAGGAGCCTGTTAGACTGCAGTCCATGAGGTCGTGAAGAGTTAGATACAACTTAGTAACTGAGCATGCACACATGCACTTTATTGCTCACTCCATGGCATAGTATAAAGACTTTAGTATGAAAACTTAAAGTCCAGAGATTTCCCTGGTAGTCTAGTGGTTAAGACTTCGCCTTCCAGTGCAGGGGACATGGGTTCAATCCCTTGATCAGGGAGCAAAGTCCCACATGCCTTGGGGTCAAAAAACCAAAGCATAAAACAGAAGCAATATTGTAACAAATTCAATTAAGATTTTTAAAAATGGTCCATGTTAAAAAACACACACAAAACTTAATAAAATCCATTTAAACAACTCCAAAGATATGGCAAGAGACACAAAATAATGTGCAGAATATTCTTTAAAGGTGTATCCTGTAAGTTGCATTAGACCCCTTCTTCTAAGAAGGACTTTTATGTAAGACAGAAATAATCTTGAAAGATTAATAAGCTTGACAGTTATGTTCTCAAAAAGTTGCCTTACTTTGCAAAATGTTGAACTAGTACCCCCTCATATCTTAAAGATAGTACCATCTATTTACTACCCTCCTCTTTGAGATACATTTTTGAAATTAGATTAGAACCTAGAAATCTTTGCTGTCCCTGGCTTGGTCCAGCTATACTCACGGGTAAATGACTTGCCCAGGGTAACAGAGTTAGAGGCAACTTGGGACTAGAAGACTAGCTTTCAGAGTAGTTGTTTAGACGGACCACCACCCACCACCTCCATTTTTAAAATTAGGTTCTTATATAGATAATATGGGCTTCCCTGTGGCCCAGATGGTAAAGAATCTGCATGCAGTGCAGGAGACCAAGGTTTGATCTCTGGGTTGGGAAGATCCTCTGGAGAAGGGAATGGCTACCCACTCTAGTATTCTTGCCTGGAGAATTCCATGGACAGAGGAGCCTGGCAGGCTACAGTCAGTGGGATTGCAAAGAGTCAGACATGACAGAGCAACTAACACACACATAAATAATATATTTACTGCTTTAAATTTGAAAGATACTAGAGTATAGAAAATGAATACCCCTTTCATAATCCTTCTCCCAGGCTTGTACTTCTTCCTGCCCTTAATCAGACATTAAATTTTATAGAGCCATCTTATGTGTATACAAGCATAAATATGACATATCAGTTTCCCAGTTTTTTAAACATAAAGCTGCCATATTCTGTCTTCTGATCTGTACTTTACTCTTTGCTAGCATTCTTTCCATCACCACTATACTTTTAAGTGCTTACATTCATGTTTGGTGGAATGTTAATAGTAACTGCTTCTGTGTAAGAGAAAATTTGTTCTGCTAGTTAGTTTTGATCAAGATGAATTTAATAAATAAAACACAGATTCTTATATGACTATTGTTTCTTGGGATGGAAATTTCAGAAGCA